ACAGGAGGCATTCTCCCGTTTCTAGACGTCAGTATCCGAACGCTCAGTGATGGCGGCCTTGCAACGAGCGTCTACCGAAAAGACTCCAGTGCTGAAGTCATTCTTATTTACGAAAGCAACCATCCTGCGGCTCATAAAAGGAGCTGTGTCCGAACCCTTTTCCACCGGGCTTATTGCTACTTACGTAGTCATTTTACAGAGTGTGTTTTTGAGTGCGTCCGGAAAGACGTTTGCTTAAAAGCCGACATTTCGAGGTAAGTGAATTATTATAAAATTTTGTTGCAAGATGATTAATTGTACAGTCCTAATTAATTAATCTTTTCGAAAGGAAAATTTCTACCGGAATTTCGGCCAACATTTCATGAGTCAACACGCATACTGTAGATGCCGGAAATAACAAGGGGAACAGAGATGACTATTTCTGTCTTAGCGTTTATATGTTTGTGCCAAACTGATGCTAGAGCACACACTTTTTATTGAATTTATCTGGTGCTTAAAAGATAGAACGAGTCTTCTGGAGGCAGATGAGGATGAACTGCGGATTAGATTAATGTGATAGTACTAATAAAAATAGATGAGAATTCCAGGACATTTCATGAGGTCGGTCACTCACGGTAAACAGTGAGTTGGGTGAACCACTTGGTATTTGCGTGTCAATGAGCCTAACGCAATGACAGAAGCTGATTTCATTAAATGGCTGACAAGTACCACTCACTGTCAGTGCCTATGCATGTAATCGATGAAAGAAGCAGGTAACCGCATAAAAACGAGCCTACGCAACCGAATTTCTCAGAAAGAACTACCTTCTCACAGCTTAAACACAGCAAGGGGCCAAGGGGTCACCTGCTAGGATTGGTGCGAGACAACAGTTTATTCGCAACAGTTGTTGCCAGCTGCACAATTAATGTACTATATGCATGTTCCAATTTCATCCAGGTTCCTCCGTAGCAACCATCATGAAGGGCATGCGAGCGTGGGAAAACATTTCGTGCGTCACGTTCGTTGAACGGGAGCCCCACCACCATACCTACATTATCTTTAGAATCCTGGCATGTGGGTGAGTGCCTTCTACTTCTTCGCCTCTCATCTTTATTTATCAGGTATTGCCTGTTTACTTTCTTATCGTCAGCGGCAACATAGTCACTGAGAATTTTTGATCTTTTTTCCAAAAAATATTACGTGCGGCAGAAAGAAGTGTTATTTCAAACGAAAAGCGAAACTGACATTCCAGACACCATCACTGCCCTATACCCCTGACCAACCGCATAATGACGCTTTTGTGCGCTTTTGGTTTACTCATTCGCCTGTTCGCGCATTTTGGCACAACAGCGTCGGTGCCATTAACAGCGAATACGAAAGTCACAGATTGTAAACTGTTGTAATTGTTCTGGTGTTTCGCACTTAGGAGTCCATTGTTGATATCAGATGCGGCGGATAATAATTCTGCAGACGTGAGCGGGAGCTTGAAGCATCAAATGGTTGACCGGCTCAAGTAGTGGATTCGTGCAGGGAAGAGAAAGTAGGAAATGGGGCCGACACTTCCACGGCGCTTCAGATCGTTGCCCGCTATAAAATGTTCGACGTACTTTGTGAATGTAAAGATGAGCTAATAATGCATGACTTGAAAGGCCGTCAATTGAAACACTAGCTCAGGTCCCGCAGGCAGAACGATCAGACCGCAACGGTTCCCTCTTAATGTAGACTCTACGGCACTCCCTCGCAACTGGGATCCGAGTCCTCACTGAGAAAACGTGGCCCATCGGGCGCGAATAAGATCGTGTGTGGCACGCGTAGATGCGCGAATTCTAGTTATCAGCTCCTGCGTCCGGGCACGTCTGCAGTCCTCATGATCCTGTCTGGGCTCCGAGCCCAAGTGAGCGGGGAGAGTGGAGTGTGTTCAACGCTTCGGAGGACTGCTATCACTCTATTAGGAGCATCCCAGCGTCCCC